ATATAAAATATTATCTATAAACTAAAACAAAATAAAATAAAATAAAAAATTATAGTAGTTATTAAGGTATAGAGCTCAAACTATAATACTAGAACTAGATTTAGTATATATCTCTTTTTAAAGCTTTTCTTAGTATTGTTTTTTCTTTTTTTTAGATCTTTTAAATTTTTTTCTATTGAAAATAACAAAAAATAAAAGATTTGATAAATTTCTGACAAAGGATTAGCAAGTTCATACTATTTTTTAATTCAGTAAATTATCAGTTGATATATAACTTAAACAAGACAACAAATATATATATCATTATTATATAGATGATCTAATTAGAATTTAATATTTAAATAAGTTTTTATTACTAGAAATATATATTCTTGTTTTTGCATAACATAATATTTTTATATTTTGTTATTCTTTTTTTTCTTTATATTAAAAAAAATATTTTTTTTTTTTTTTTTTTTCTCTTTTATTTGTAAGAATTTTTAATTTAGTAGCAAATTTTTCTTTTACAAGTTATGTTTATATAATATGTTGTTTTATTTTATTAAACAATTTTTAAAGTAGTAGTTAGGATTAATGATAGCTAAAGCAGTTTTAATATAAGCTAGTAATAATCTTCTTTTAATCAAAATTAAATAAACATGTTTAGTTATATATTTAGTTTCAGAAAAAAAATTATGCTACTGTAGCAAATTACACTTAAATACTATCTAAATAGCCAAATAAATCCAAAATTGCAACAAAGCAAACATCTTTTAAATTAAAAATTTTTTTCTTTTTTTTTCTACATTTGTCAACATATCTTTATGATATTTGCTTAATAAAATAAAGAATAAAATCACCTAAAAAAAAAAAAAAATAACTAAATACTAATAATTATAAACTTAACAATATTTAGTATTTAGTTCAAACTTAATAAAATTTTAAAAAAAGTTAACTGTTATTTGACTATACACAATAATATAACAAAGATACAAATAAATACAGTATATTAACTTGAATTTTAATCAATATCATTATATTGTATGACTTGACTTTAATAAATAATTCTATAAATTAAAAGAATCTTTTAGCAGTATCAAAATAAAACCAAATAATAATCTAGAGAACGGGAACGCGCGAACCGACAACTTTGAAAAAAAATCGATCCCGAACTTTTTGTTCTCTTTTGTTTTGTTCACAAGAGAATAAAAAAAAATAAAGTCTAATGACTGAAAAGGAAAGATTAATGATTATGGGATTGGAACGTACGTAATAATTATTATTCAAATTATAAAGGCATAGCAAAAATTAAAAAATATATATAACGATAATTACTCCAAAGCCACAACTTTGTAACCAATAAAAGTTTAGAATTTACATAGAGATGGGTGATATCAGGCATATTATAACGAGAGGTTTAATAACATCGTAATTGTGACACCTAAAGTTTGTAACTAATAATCGAAAACATTCAAATTCTTTAGCTAATATAAGGTTTGTCTTCTTCACCTTTGACTCGTTCAACTTGCTTCTTGTTTGTCTTGTGCTGTGCTCTTTTACGCTTATACGAGCTTCTTAAAGAATTTCCTAAAAACTTTACATATTTAAACATTGCTTTTGTTATTGTACAAATCATTTTCCCACCAATTTTGTTTTTTTAAACCGTCAAATTGTCTTCAACTAACGCCTCACCGGGGGCGCACAAAGAAATCATCATGGGACAAGCACAGGACAAGTTTGTGGACGAGCAAAATGAAGACGGTTCTCAAGATTCTCCTACTGTGGAAGACTCCGTGATTACTGAGGCAACTTTTACTGTGGTTGCATCAGAATCTCAAGTTCACCATGATATTAGTTTCTCACCGCTTTCTATCCAAGACACACAACTAAAAAAAACTAGTTCAAATTCTGTGTTCGGTGATATAGATCCCAGTGGCATTCGAAGTGAAAAAGGAAAGTTTTTCGCTTCAGATGTCAATGGTCACATTGATTTGGCAGAGAATGATGATAATTTTACTATTCACTTAACCAGCTCCACAATAGATTTCTCAAATAATTCACTCGCGAGTTCACTTGCGAACTTAACAATTCGAGATTCACCATCATTGGACAGTATAACAACAGCGTCTGTTGTGCAAGCGACAACAGTGAAAAATACTGTCAAAGAAACACGTAATAGCTTATCTCGAACTATTGAAGAAAATTATAATCCGGCTGTCGAGGAAACATCCGGTTCAATTAAAATAGCAGACACAACAGAATCAACTCGTAAGAGAACATCTAAAGACATAAAATCAACACTAACTGACGAATCTGA